TGTGTATGATTATTATCATGCCTCTATTATTGATTGATTTAAGAAATCTTCATATTCGTTTAACATATCAAATAAATAAGATTGGCTGCCATTTTCTCTCTACTCGAAAATTACGTGTACTCTCGACTTATCTAATTTTCAATGCTCACAGCATTAGTGTGACGCTTTATCTTGTTACCCATATGTTTATCTATAGTTTTGTAAATGACATAGTCCAATGACATCTTAAATAGCTAGTCATTATTATTAATTTCCTTTCTCTGGATTTGTATTGGCGCAAAAATAACGATAAAGGCAATAATGACAAATAAATTTCCAGTTGTTTCACATTAACAATGATTGTCTCATGTTAATGCATTAATGATTACCTATTTTGACCGCTATAATGAATTACCTATTTTGTCCGCTATAATGTCACCGGTTAAACGTTAAATTCGTGTCATGTTTATGTTGATGTGAGATCTTTTCCAGTACGACAAACAAAAAAAAATCGGATTTCGCGAGTAATACAATCAAAAAAATTTGGATCTTCGCGAGAAATACAAAAAATATTAAATCTCACTATATATAAAATTTCATTCTTGACATTTTTAATTAGTGCACCAAGGTCGAGTTAAACATTAGTTTTTGAGTATTTCGAATTTTTCTTCTTCTTTCTCATTATATGTCGGGTTGATTGGCTATTTCCTTTTTAAGTTGCTAAAATAAGTACGTTCATGTGAATGGCTGTGGACATGTTACTCCGATTGCAAAATTCAGAGCTGTACGAATAGAATAGAATAATTGATACGTAGTTTTTCGAGTAATAAGTAAATATCTATAAGAATCTCTTTATAAGTCTGGATAGTTTATCACGGCCCAAAATATTATTCGAATATTAATCATCGTCAAATCATAAATAAATAATTGTGGGTTGCCTGTATAAAGCATTAATACTTTTCGGGTTTCTGTTTGGATGATAAATCCAGAAGGTTTACAAACACTTATCTTTTCAAGGTCTACTTCAGGGTGCATGTTATTTAAACCGTTTTGCCTACACGTTAGTGCATTTGCTGGTCCAAATTTTTTACGTATGATTGAAATTTCTTATCTAAAAGTTTTCAAATTTTCTTCAATTAAATAAATTTCAACTCCCTAGTGTCGCCAATAAATCAGTTACGAATTTAAAATTAAACATCAGTACTCATATATACATGGGTGTCTAAGTTACTTCTCTTAATAAATAATTATTTCGATAATTAGTCTTTCGAATCATAGTTGACGAAATTAATCTTCATAAGTGCGAAATTAATTTGAAATCCTAATATCAAAATCCATTAAATAGGATAATTTATTTGCAAGGTTTATATAAAAAATGTGATAATGGCGGAATTTTTTGCGAAAATGCTTTTTTTAAAAGATAATTTAGATACCATGTATATTATCTTTCTTGAAGTTTTGGCGGCTTCAAACTCTTCAAAATTGTTTACCATTTTTTTTAACGGTGCTCAAGTCTTTTCAATCGCGTTTAACCATTTTCTTTGTTAAGGAAAGTTTCTGACTTCTCAATAAACTTTATCACCTATAAATTAATTTTATTAAGAATATGTGTTATATAAGTAGCTTATATAATAATAATAAAATAAATCTCAACTTTACTAATATTTCTTTTAATTCAATAGCTTTATCAGTTGTAACTTCAACATCACTAGTACTTGAATCATATTCGTTCATACTTAAATCTATCTCGGCTTCCTTATAATCACGATACTCGATTTTCGGGTTAGCCAATGCGACGGGTATATTATTTTTAGTAGCTCGCAAAATCAGTTGTTGGGGTCATGAAGAAGTGATGTTTATTATTGCGCTGAACTTTATAGCTCTATTAAAAAAATTAATTATCCATATTTCCCAGTGATGAAACTAAATAGTTTGAAAAAAGTAACACAATTTTTTATGAAATGTGCGGTATTCGACCTCAATGACGTCTTTTTTCGAAAGTAAAGCTTTCGCTTTTTACTTTTTTTTAATACGTGTTAAACATTCAGAACAAGTTTTTTTTTTCACGAAAAGTTTCTGCACGTTTTGCAGTATAAAAAATTGATTGTAGAAAAAAAAAAAAAGTACTGGTTTATCGCTTAATTAAAAAGTAACGGTAACTAATTTTTGGAGAATTTACTAATTCCCTCCACCACTTCTGATTGGTTCTACTAATGATTCACATATCGGAGTATCTGTGCTATTAATCAATTTTATAGTTCTCCAATAGTGAAATGGTGGGGGAAATTAGTGCACCCATTTTTAGGCTAATAATCTACAGCTTATGTAAATGGGGACCTCATTTCGCCAAATATCGATTTTTTTTTCTCATTTTAGAATCGGACCCTGGATTTTTTTATATTAAAAGTTTAAATCAGGAATTTATGCGCTATTGTGAAATTCTGACTAAAGCGAGCAGGAACTTATATATTGTGTATATGATTAAATAAAAAATCAAGTGATTATAATGAGATTGTGACAATTGCGGGTTTGATTAAAGTATTTATATTATTTCTTGTAAATTTTTTATTGTCGAATTGTCCTACACAAAATAACATTAATAATTTCGGAATTTTAAATTTATAACAATTCTCAGCTTGATTTGTTTGATTGATTTAGAAGCTGCACGATTTCTATCGGAGTTACTTCTATGTTTAACTCTGAAAGAAAAGAAAACGTTTAAACATTCTTTAAAATTTAAAATTAAATACGTTGTTACGCGATTACTATTATAGTTATGATCAGTTATGATTATCAATTTAGATTCCAGTTCTTAATTTCCATTTTTCTTTTCTTAAATTTTATTATCTAAATTATTACTAGAAAATGCATAACATCATTGATTATGAGAGAATGATTATAACATTCACAAACGTGTTGCGTAATTTCTACTGCGATCCGCATGCCTATGTATGTTATTCTCGGACATTTATAGTAGTGCAGTTATACCTTTGTGATTAAAATTAGGACGTTATTAGCCCGTACGTAATAAAAGTTTACATCAAATGATGCCCAAAAATGGATTTTATTTTTACCACCCTGAGACTTAGTTGTTGCGCCGTGTGATGTCGAGGTTTCAATATTCAACCTCCGATTATGATTAATAATATAGATTACCTATATCTTACTAATCATAAGCGGAGGATGAATATTGAAACCCCGACATCGCATGATGCGACTTTTAAGTTTCAGGACTTCGGAATTTTGATTTGACTTAGATCCAGGGTGGCGATACATCGCTATAGCGATAAATTATAAAGCCTTTAAAGGATAATTCAAATATCTTTTTTTCTTTTAAACATATTGATACTAAAAAAAAAAACGAAACATTGTTTTATAAAAGTTTACGATTTTTATTCAATTTTATAGAGATCCATTCAAAATTCGTAAAAAATTGAAAAATCGTCGAAAAAATAGCAATGAAACCGAAAAGCAACGGTGACAATAACAATTGTGATAATAACAAAATCGACAATAAACATGACAACGAAATGTTGATAAAAATTAAAATTAAAATGAAGATCTGTCAAATCATTTACTTCCTATAATGGTTTAATTTTTAACTTTACTAAATAGTTATTTTTCCGGCCGAACAGGATTCATTAAAGAGATACTTTTTTTGGGGCGGGATAAATATCTCTTAAAAAGGAACTTACTAAAATCATTTATTAAAATTTTAAAGTTTAATAATTCAATGTATTAGCAGACAAAATATAGTACAGGTGACACCTACTTTAAATCAAATGATTATTATTAAGGTGTCACCTATACTATATTTTATCCATATTTTCTTCTTTGATTACAGTACGAAAAAGTCCATCAGGCTGAGCAATAAAGAAAAATTTTCTTACACAAAAATATACTTATGACACATTATTAGAGTAATACTCAAAGGTTCTCCGATATTTGTGTTTCTCCGATATTTTGTTCTACACTGAATGTTAATAAATACCCGTAGCCTTGACCTTCAAAGGTAATTTGAAGTTTTCGACTTTCAAACATAGTTTCAAATTTCGACTTGCGTAATTTCGAGAAATGCCGCCATCAGCAAATAGTCTCCTAAGAAGATCTCGATACAATTCAACTCATGCATGCGATTCTTGCAGAAGCTCAAAAAGCAGATGCAAGAAGGTAGATTATATCGAACAATCTACTAAATGCAGTAGGTGCACAGAACGTAACTTTGAATGCACTTACTTCTTTCAACAACAGAAACGGGGCCCTAAACCTTCGAAACCTCTTACATCTCCCCCTACATCTCCAACTTCACATAATGCACCTCTCCCTAAACCTCCACCTTCCAATAACACGCCTCCCCCTACACGTCCACCTTCCAATAACATACCTTTTCCTTACAATGATGATGTGTTTGTTAATAGTGACGATTTGTATGATTTACTTCATGATTTATATTCGGAAGGAATAAAACCTGATGTCAATGCTCGTGATTTACATCAGGAGCCATGTCCATATAAGAATACTTTAGGGCATTATTGTCACATGGGGTGTATTGTGAGGTATAAAAATGCCTATTAAACACTAGGCATTTATCATCGTTTTCTGAGTCTACTACAATAATTTGTATTAGATAATATACGATCGTTTTCGAATTTGGCAGAATTTAGTGAATAAAACTATAAGGAAATTCAACGTTATGATATGAAATATGTTATATTAATAATAGAATTTATAAGTAATTAATTTAGAAATTAAGATTTATAAGTTAAAAATTTTAAGAATAGTAAAAATTCAAGAAACAAATATGGCTAAAAGCAAGAATACTAATTCTAGAATTTATGTATTTAAAAAGTATAGGGAGTTCGAAATTTTAAGTTATGCAGATTATTTATGATTTTAGTGATACAATAAGATTTATATAGAATTAAAAATATATTACTAACAAAACTTTTTAAAAACAAAATAATCCGTTACTTTGATCAACATAAATCTGTACGACGTTTGATTTTTTATGATATATAAAATAAAATATAAGCAATTTAATATGTTTTATAAGTTAAAATATAATTCTCATATCAAATACATATTATTATGCACGAAAAAATTCTGTGCCAAGTTTTTGTCGATCATTGTGGCACACCTTACGAAATTACCCGATTTTTCCGATTTTTAATTAATTAATATTAGGGTTAGTGTTAGGATTTGATAGAAGGT